CGTTGGTCTTTATGGATGACGTTTCAATGAATGGAAAAAAGTTCGTTTTAACCGAAAGTTCACTATAACCGGGTTCACTATAAGCGGACTTTACTCTATATCAATAGGAATTGTATTGTATTGTATTGTATGTGTATCAATGCCTACTACCATAAAATCTTAATTTTGCTAATTTGAATTATTTATCTTGACCGAACATAAACATGTTATACATGGTTGAAGGGCATATTTAAAGGGGAATTTARAAATGCAGAAATTCAACATGGCGCCCATAAGAAAAACAAACACTGACTTCGGCTTYATTGAACATAGTGGGCCTAGATTATTTTTTACTTTATTGTCAAATTYACGCTCATTTCTTACCYCCACCCTRAAAATKTCGTTATTGTATCTTTTATAATAAACACGATATAAAGGATTTTAYAAAACGCACTTTTTTCTTTTCTTYCCTGTATATCCGTTGCGAGTTCAAAGAAGTTGATGACAGATGTCYCCATTTGGTCCACTCTGTATCTTTAACGGTTTCCAATATCCCCAATRTCCATCATTTTATACTGGACACACTGYATAWCGTGAAATACGCCGCCACCCAGAAGTTGAATTGAGCGGGACYWTTTAGTTAMTCTATGGGCGGGACACATCGCAAAARGCCAAGACTAGTGGTAGCCCTGAGCCCCAACCTTGAGAGGGCCCCGCGATCTCTGAATATTCAAAAAATGTTYACAATTTACTGCCCTTAAGTGGGCCCCATATCCATTTCAGTCTMGGGCTTTGCGCGAGCGGCTATAATCCGTCCTTGCAAGTGGAGCGGTAGAATAATAGAAGATAAGAGGTCATGGAGCATCCAGTAAACACAAATGATCCGTGGGACGTTCTATTTTGATCTCCGTTGTCCCACATGGGATGATCCTTGGTAGGATGTTCCTAGGCCGTCCTTCGTATAGCTCAAATATCTCATGCAGATCCCATGCGAGTCGTCCCGGAAACGATATATTTTTTGCTCCCAGGGACGTAATGAACAGGACGTATATCTAGTAATAGTAAAAGACACTATCAAACAGACATTTCACATAATAAAATATCCATATAGCTTATACCGATGACCGTATCATAGGCATACGGAGTCCTAGGTGCAAAGATGGCCCCACCTGACAGTGGACTTAGGTTAGAAAGGAAGTTTAAGGTGGAAATCCCAGCAAAAGAAAGCTGGAGTTCTAGGACGGTGACGGCCCGAAAGAGGGATTGTCCGGGGCGGGAGTGTACCGGCAAGACACCAATCTGGGAGCAACTATTTCATTGGGAGGCTGGACGACTTTTTTCAGGCGGAATTATATGCAATCCTCGAGGTTGGTGCAGACAAAGAGGTCAGAAGGAGAGATTTACATATACTCTGGCAGCCAGGCGGCCCTAAATGCACTTCTCAGTGTTAGGATGGGCATCAGACTGATCCAGGAGTGCTGGGATGCCCTGAATAAAGTGGCAGAACAGAAACAGGTAAATTAATTCAGAAAACAGATTCCGGCGCACATGGGGTTCGCGGGGAACGAGCAGGTCGACCCATTGACCAGGCGCGGATCTTCTGAGAGCCCAATAATTGTCGAACTTCACATAGGGCTAAGTAACAGACAGGTAGCAAGCGCACTCAACGACTGGGCCCTTAAAGGTACCACAGAGCGTAGAGAAAGGCGGAAGGGTGTAGACAAGACAAATAATTGATTCGTATGCCAGGTCAGGACAACGCAACGTCCAAATGGCTGATGTCAAGGACTCGCTGGGCCCTGAGAACTCTAGTTGGGGTCATGACAGGCCACTGCGGTCTGAGCAGACACTTACACCTACTTGGAATCGGTGTCTCGTATGTCCACAATGTGGAACGACAGATGAAACATCGTATCACCTTCTAGGAGTTTGTCACCACTGGTCGATCATGAGGAGGCGCCTGCTAGGAGCATCCACACTCACCTGCACGGAAGTCTTACATAGAGCGGACACGGATCCTCGCCTTCGTCAGGACGCCTGGGTGGTGAAGAAGAGGGATAGTAAGGCGGGGGTGGATGGAGGGGGAATGGTGAAAAGGGCCTCTAAATCCGAGGGATAATTATTACTTGCCTCTGCGTTAATGTGTCACAGTTGTTCATGTCATCTTAAAGACGCCAAAGAGGCGGATAGCTTAGGTTAGGTATCTGTTGTCCATGGACGATTGTTGCACATTTTAGTTGCAGTGTTTTGAGTTTTCGTACGTGTTATTGTGTTAGTACAGACAAAGTAAGTAGCTAATTTAGATTTTTATCACTTTCATGTATGATTTTCGTTTATATGTATAGAAGTATGCCGTAAAGCGATGCCTAAAACGCCTAAAAATTGAGCAAAATCTTTATATCACCGTTAAATAAATGAAAGAACAAGTACATTATAAAATAGTTTATAATGTTCTAATGAGGCCAGCATTCTAATGAGGGCCTTAGAATCTGATTTCGCCTGAATCTCGATGTGATCCGAATAGACTTGTATCCGATAATGAACAACTTCTAACCCACGTTTCAAAATCATAGTTTCCGGATCCGACCTTCTTTTGAAACACTGGGACTGTACTGTACATGTATAAATTAATAATAGCATTTTATTCTCCTGGCTAAAACCTACAGGGTCAGGCCATTAAACCAGGAGAAAAAATTAACATCTTAGCCAATTTTGGATATTATTTTATTCAATAAATTTACAAATATCGATACACAACCATGAGAATCTAACACACAAAATTAAATTATAAAATTAGACTAACAGTATTTAAAAATATGGCGTATTCATTAGAGTATTCTTCAGTAACCAGAGTAGATCGCTTGAGTTTGTGCATGTTGTGGCTGCTGTTGTCTGTATCCTCTAGTTACGGTGGTGTACTGCGTTTGAGGAACTGCCTCGTACCTTTGCTGCGATCTTTTGTTTGGTGAAACAAAATTCTGAGTTGACGGACTGATTATAGGCTCCAAAACATATCTTGGCCTAGAGTATGCGTTTGTGTATCCGTAATCATTCCCTGAACTAAATCCTGTCGGAAAGGCTCGTACTGGTAGGTTCGGAAGGGTTGGGTTTAGAGCGTCGTTCAACGTTACATCATATTCATTCAAATCTAAGGGATTTTTGTCTGCGATTTTAGGGCGTTGGGTCGTTCGAGGACCTACAAATTCCTTCGTTTTATAGGACTGCTGCCTTGAAGGTTCAGATTCGATTAATTCCTGGGCTTCAGCAGATGGTGCGGTATATTGGGGACGCGTTGGTGATTTAACTAAAACCGGAGATGGTTTAAATGCTGGCTTCCTGACATTTTGAAGTTCTTCGGTATTAGAAACATCTGTCTCCGGTTCCTCTTCAAGATAATCCTCTTCAACCTCTTTGCTTGAATCTATTTGTTCGCCGTTTCTCGATTCCTGAGAATCGTTTTCAGGAATTGATTTATCTACGGCTTTAAGCCCAACAGGCTGTAACCCTCTGGAACTATATGGGCTTCCTCCGCGACTTGGGAGAAATGGACGTTTTATTACTCTCATTGATGGTTCCCTCCTTGGTGGCTGCGGTGGGCTGGTTGTAGTGCTAGTTGAAGTTGTAGTTGAACTAGCTTTTTTCGTATTTTCCGACACACTTTGTTCTGCTACCTCTTTTTCTTCGTCCAGATACTCTTCGTCCTCATATTCCTGACTGACTGGGGGTTTTTTCTTCAAGGCAGAAGAAGGTCTAAAGTTGTTTCTCAGTACGGCATGCTTTGGCCTAGACGTCGTTTTATCAATAGTTTCTTCGCTATCAGGTTTGCGCTTTCTTGGTCGAGAATCACTTGGTTGAGATTTGGATTCATTATTTTCTTGTCGAGAGCCGCTTGCTGGTTTTCTTCGCCCTTTACTTGGGCGTGCAGGCTCGATTTCTTCCTCAGCATATTCTTCTTCTTCCAACGGAGTTTCAGTGGTAGTAGTTCTACTAGTGCCACCGTTATTAACTCCTTTATAAGCGTATTTATCGGCTGCATTCTTTGGCACAGGTAAATTGATCTTGGGCGCCACTCTGGGTCGATCATAAATGGTGCCAGTGCTTGGCTTTATAATTGGTCTGCCATCATTACTGTTAGCATTATCCTCTTTATTTTCTTTAGGTCTTTTTCTTGGCCTTTGTTCATTGTTGCGGCTATCCTCTGGCTCAGGTATATCATCTTCTTCATATTCCTCAACAGGTTGCCGATTACCCGACTTTTTTCTGCTGGGGTTTCTATCATTACCTCGCTTACGACTTCGAGTATCTTCTTCTTCTTCGTCAGAATCAGCAATCGGACGTTTGCGGCGATCGTTCGTTTTTGAACGTTTAGGAGCTAGAAACAAAAAAGAATAATAGAGAATTTATAGTACAATTAACTTAATTTTTATCCTAATCGTAATCTCCATTTACTGATAGGCCAAAAATATTTTTTTTGCATATAGCGAGATCATACAGTTTTGTTAATGTAGTAATAAATACTTGAGAGAATAATACGCTAGAGTACGGTTCATGATTTTATCACCAAATAATATTTGAAGATTATTTCGAAAATCATCTGTCGTCTTCACTATTAAATGCATGAAGTGATTTAAAAAATGGCAGTTGCATATTGGAGTCTAGATAAGTACAAAATATATTAAATTAATCGATTTAAATAAAGCTTTTTTTATGTACATACAGCAGGAAGTTTACTATTTTTTCATAGCTTAACTCAATTGAAATGCAATTAATAAAAAACTATTCAATGTAACTTTATAAAAAAATATAGAAGATTTAAAGTTTGGCTACCTGCTACAAAATCTTCATCCTCAAATCGGTCATCTACCTCTTCATTATCATCGTTTTGAGGTTTGCGCCGCTCTTGGTTCCTTCTCTTGTACGGACGCTTTCTTCCATTTCCTCTTCTAGCTTCGTACCTTAAAATCACATAAGGCATTAAAATGGGTTTGCATTACTTATACAGCGCGTTTCTTCTATGTGCTAATAATTTCTCTGTGAAGGCGACTAGTCCTTCATAGTTCAGCGATCTACGTGCGTTCAAGTTTATCATTCCTCCGATTTCTGCAGTAATAATATATTTTGTTTTCAAATTAAACCGTTCTAAATTGGAAAACCCACTGTAAATTGGAAGCTTAAGGAAGGGATAATTGAGTTCATAGGTAACGATTAATTTGGTTGACTATACCTTTGATCTTCATATTCATCATAATCATCGTCATATACAGGCCTGGGTCGGGGTCTGGGCCTAGCTCGAGGTCTCTCGTCATAGTATTCGTCATCATAATAATCATCGTCATAATACTCCACTGGTGGTCTTCTTCTACCTCCAGGACGACGACGAAATCCTCCTAATTAGACGAATAAAACGTTATTTTAACGAAAACACTGACTGACAATTAGTATAATATGCGCTTTTGCTTTTCAAATTTTATTAACTTCAAATTTATTACATAAGAAATAATGTATGAATATCAATAAGAAATACCTCCGGGTCTTCTGGTAGGTCTGCCTTGTGGAGTGATTGGATCGCCACCATTGGGTGGGGCAGTGGTGTAAATGGCTGCTTTTAAATTTACAGGAGCACTAGTAGTGGTAGATTGAGCTTGGTAGAGAGCATCATTTCTGAAAATAAAATACATACACAAATTAACTATTTCTTATTAAAACCATTATATTAAAAATATTCCATATATATATTTATTTACCATATCTATTTTGATAGTTGATTGAGTGGAAATTGAAGAGCATTGGAGGTATTTTTATGAAAATTGCTCATATAGAAAACACAGTAAACTAAAAAAAGTGGAAAGTAATAAGCATGTGAAGAAATGATCAATGACTGTTTGACAATTGCAGTTAAAACTGTAAAATTTTATCAAATACGCAGTGTTAAATCTACAGTTTTCCAAAACATTATCCTCAGTTTCATCTATTCTACGCGTTGTAAATGTTGTTGACTTACCTATGCCAGAATTTCTTTGAATTTACGCAGTCTACTTCTGAGACGAATTGACAAATAAATGTTTTTTGATCAAAGGCAGTATAGTTGGCGCATAGGAAGTCGAATCTCGTACCAAATAAGCAGTGATGGTAAACCTGAAAAATAGTAGTAGATTATTCCTATATTACATTTAAAATCTACATTTCCGAAGAATAGCGTATTGTACATTTTAGTTTTCAAATAAAAATAAATAGGTACGGTATTTTTAAAATTCACCCCCTCAACCGGTGAGAGTAAAACGAAATTTGTTTTACATTTTATTACAGTTCGTGTGTTTTCAATGTTTTCGTTAGATAAAGAAATTATTTTCGAAAACATTGAAAACTCTGACTCTGGTCAACTCTTCTTTAACGTTACGTCACAAAACTTATGTAGCATCTAGGTGAGTTGAAAATATTTAATATCAACCTGGAATGTACTTTTCCAATTTGTTTACTTGGTCTCTTGCTGTGTGGGTTTATAGAAAGTTGGATTTTAATAAAAAGACAAAGTAAACGCACGGTAGGCTTTAATTCGTCGCAGAGAGCAGGCAGCAGCAACAATAAGAAAAATCCGATTTCTTTACTAGGGACCCTAAAGTCATCGGTGGTTTAGTTGTGCAGAACGTTGCGTTGCGTTAATGGAAGGAACTTTTAATTTATTCATAGTTAAGTTAGACAAAGTCACAGAGAATTATACAAGTTTTAGATAGATAAATTTTGGGCTACAGGAAAGTTGATGACTTTTTTTAAGAACAGCTTGGGCTAGAAATGAAAAAAAAATCATTTAGTGCTCGTTTCAGACATTGTAATATAGTAATTACATTGTGACAATAATTATTAGAACAATATTTTGACATTGTCATCAATATGTTTAATTGAACGTGTATTAATTTCTTAAGATATTTAAATAGAAAATATTTATATTTCGGGCGCATTCACCATTCCGTCAAGTCATATGATTATTTATGTCGCTGCTAAAGAAAATTATTATTTGATTAAGACGTATTTTTTGGCTATATTTTGGTGCCCAAAGCAAACGACCAAACTTTTGCTGGGAAAAGATGTCAAGCTCTTTAGCGGTTTATGGAGAACGTTCTGCAAAAAAATTATGATTTTGGTAATATTGAAAGAATGTTACCATGTATTTTAATGGAACTCGCTGTGAATTTGCTCCTATGCAAGACTCATATTCTGATGAGTTTTGGTCCATCCGCTCCGAGCAAATGGTAAATTGTGATGTCTTGGTTCAGAAATTTACAAAGGTTAGATCGTGTTCTGTTTAGCCAAAAATATGAAAGTACCATTTTGGCTATACGCTTATGGGACACCATGTACAGGGTGTTTCCTCCTAAGTTGATATCCCCCTTGATCGCTTGTTTCAAAAAAATTGTGAAAGTGACCAACACAAAAGTTGTTTAATAATATTTAATTTTTTAATTCTGAATTTACAATTAAAATATAATACACGGAAATAAATATATATTTTTCTAATCAGGAAAGAAATCCTATTGGTACCTCTAAAAATATATAGGGTGTTTTATTAAAAGCGGGGCGGTATTTCAAATTGTGACATTTCCGTGTTTTATATTTTGATTTTATATTCAGATTTAAACAAATTGAGTAAAATTAAACAACTTTTGTGTTGGTTACTTTCAGAATTTTTTAAAAATAAACGATCTAGGGTGGTATGTCAATTTATGAGGAAACACCGTGTACAAAAGTACATTTTTATTTATACAGGGTGGTAATCAACTAATTCTGTATAATCATGTTTATTCTGTAGCTCGCTATCAGTTCTTTCTCGAAAAAGTGTATGAATGTTCAGTTTGCACCCTACAATCCACAAAATCAGTAAATAATCGAATTCTTAGATGGAAAATGTAGAATAATTCTGGCAGTTTGTGAAAGTGTAGTGTACTTCTTGAGGATTAATGGGTAGAAATTGGAGGATAGGGCCCCATCTTGCAGAAAGCTTGTAAGAGTGACCTCTAATCTATAAATATTTTGGTTTAAACCGATTTCAGTTTTCTAGCAAGCAACTGAAATTATATGGATTCTTTATATTTCTCTCTCTGGGAATTATTTGGGCGGCTTTGTATTTTTGTACTAAGCTTATCTGAACCTTTTCGCTAAAGAACCGCTTCAGATATGGAAATTTGGGTATTCATTACAATTAGCCTCAGCTTACTGATAGTGTGGATTTAGTTCCGATTAAACAGTTGATTCCTTCACCAGAAATTTTTACTCTCGGAATATTTATGCGGCTTTGTATTTTTACATCAAGCTCATCTGAAGCTTGTCTCCAAAGAACCGTTTCAGATATGCAAAAGTGAATTCCAGTTTTATGCTTTCTGTTAAAAAAAGTCAAGAGTTTTTTTGCGTAAAAGCGTTCATTTTCAAATCAATATTCACGAAGCGCCCAAAATTCTGGATTTTATGCAATTTGAGTCAACTTTCGAAGATTTGAAATAATTTTGACGATATTTAGAGTGCACTATTCATTACTGAACGGACAACTCTGAACGTGTAGAGTATTTTTCGTTTCCGAGTTTTCTATTATAACACATCGCGTCTCACTGTGGCGCATTTTTAATTACGCTTAGCATTTAATCCAGGGGCGGATTAAAGCATTACGAGGGCCGGGGCTGGAATTTCAAAATCTACTTTCACTACCTAACAAAAAATATCACCTGCAACGCAACTGCACCGGTGAGTTATTGTGCCCGTGCGTTGGATTGGCTCAACAAGCCAGTTTAGCAAGACTGTGCCAACTCCTGAAAATTAACTGAAATGCCCAATCAAAATGGAGAATTTTTTGCCACAAATCTATGTGCCAATGATATGAACTGTGTAATTAAATGACTTCTATACTTTAATGTATTTGTTATTATTATTACATTGTAGTATTATTGTTATTCGATGGAAAGTACTTGTACGGTATTCTTTATATGTCAATTATCGTAACGGTTATTTCAATTTGTTAACTTGTTATTAATTTTTCCTTAGGTTGTTTTTGCATTGTGCAATAAAAAAAAAATTTTGCTTTTTTAAAACTTTTTTAACAGGTTCAGAATTTCAAAATTTATGTTACAAGTGGATTCGACAATAAGAAATTCATTGCAGGTTGATTAATAAAACATAAACATAAGGTACGTTTCCTATGTACATTTTCTTTAGTTCACATTTTCAATCAGGACCAAATAAATTATAATTTGTAGTTGAAAAAGTTTAATTTGTATTATATCTTTTAGAAACAACATAAAAAAATAAATTCTTGTTACACGATATTTTAACAGCAAGTTTTGATTGATTGATTTCTTGCACTTTAAAACTTGCAAGTATTGGAAAACTATAAACGGAAACAGGAAGTATGGTCTACCGCCTATCAGTAATACTTGCTTCAGCTTTTAGAGACTTAAGACGGAAGACTTCCTGTTTCGAAATAATAACTATAATTTATAGTTTTATAAGACAGTTGGACATTTATGGGAGGGTCCACGATTAACATGATTTACATATTATTTAAAGGTTAAGGTATTCGATGACTGAAAAAATGCATGGATGGAGGATAAAAAATTATTTCAATTTATTTCTTTCTTTGTCGTGCACTTGTAATTACTGATTGCATTACGCTCAAAAGGTATTTCCTCACCTAGCAATAACACTAAACTTATTTAATTGGCGCGACAAAAAATGTAACCTTGTCTTGTCGATATAATATTGTTCACTTTCACTCTACCATGTAATGGTTACCAGGTGAAATTAATCGTTTTAACCGATTTACTAACGCTGTTTCAATAGAACAAATTGACTGAATAACAAATGAAAATTACTGTTGTTTGGAAAATGTCCCATTTAGGCGTCCAAATTATCTGGTTATAAATATAAAATTCTGAAACTGAAACTGAAAATTTTTTCTGATAGAAAGGCGTTACACAGCTGTAGGTATATTGGAGGAAAATACTGCCATTCTCAGACAATTGCGATTTGTATGTTGGAGGAGGCGCGACCGAAAATCTGCCTTTTTATTGTAGTAGGTAGGACGCATAGGTGTTTTATGAGCAAATGTTTTATAAATTGTAATTGTTTAAATTCCCGAGTAAACAAAAAAATATGACTACTTAACAAAACTATGATTGTGTATCAATGCCCCAAACACTCTTTAGCGTTGGTGCTAATAAGGAAATTGTCACCAATGTCGTTTGTAGCTGAGGCAGAAAAATCCCCATTATCTTAAATAGTTTTGCGGACAAAATAGATTCAGAATTTTTTGAGCAATCAGGCCAAACATCTAAACTATTTTATTTATATGAGTACACAATTTCTATTCCAAAAAGGTGGCTCTCTTACGTGTAAGATATTCATTCACTTCAATAGATAACAATTTATCTGCAAGCAGCAAGAACTCAATTATAGAACTCAGGCTGCGGCTCAAGTTCGACCAATTTACTCTTTTGAGTATGTAGGTATGCAAGGAAAAAAATGTAAATCATAATGGCTACTCAAGTTTTATGGTAGGCCTGGGTAACACTGTGTTGATTTGCGCTTTTGAGTTGATGCCGCTTTGTGCGTTGGTGCGTTATAACTTATCGCGCCGCACATCGAATTGCGCTTAAATAATTCTTGAAATAAAAACTTTTAAAGAACATTTTTAATTAGTTGAAATCTCGCTGGTTTCTATTCGATTCAATACATATGGCTCGAAATTCAAAATTAAATTAATGAAAGATCGGTGCTTGGCGCGGTTTTCATTTAGTTGTTGTTGACTGTCGTTAAATTGGTACGTGAAATATTCCTTTGGAAATATTG